TGAAGTCCACACATCTTAAAGTTCCCAAGGTTGAGAAACACTTATCTACTCTAATGGTGGCTGTACCTTCTCTAGCCAACTATCCTTCCTTTTTAGAGGATCACAATTTCTATCATCCACAACAAACCATCCATTTCATATTCTGCTTCTTCTGCTATCACCCCCATAGCAACCCCATGCTACCAAAGTCCAATCCCTTAAGTTTAAGCAGGAACACTGAGCATTGCAGAAGGGAATCTGAAGCACCATAACTGACCTGTTTGTTGGAATGGTTTTTATTTCGGTTGCTGTCCAAGAAGCCCCCGCATTTGCCCAGGGCTGCAAGATCCTTCATAATAGAATTCAGAGCTTCCTCTTCATCTGCAAACAGACAAACAAAGAATTAGGTGAGACCTCTGAAACTTCAGGACATCTTTCCAAGGGCCACATAACACCTTCCAAGGAATTCTGACGCATGGCAGACTCATCTTCCGAGCATAACTGCTTATAAAAGATTGTGGAGAGGTGCCCCATTCATCAGTGGGCCTAGCTACGGGGAGAACGATGATCTGGAAGCGAGGGAAGAGCCGAAGACATGGCATACCCTCCCCAAATTTGGACTACAACTCCCTTCCAGTATTCCTGGAGCGCAACCAATACATCTGCCTGAAGGGAATGCTACCCGCCCCATAACTGGAATGAAGTTGGAATGAATAAACTTGCACAGAAAGATAAATGCATTCAAACAGAAGGTTCAGCTGTTCGAGCACCTGCAAACATTTGGGCTATTGGCTTTTCAGTTCTCAAAGTGAGCGTTCACTTTGTTTTCAAACAACACTGTCTGTTGAATTTGCTACCAATCGATTGGGCGTCCTCTCCTGCCCCAACTATCACAAGGAGAGGGTTGCTAAAGAAAAATCTAGCGTGGAGCAAAAGGATATTTATTCCCGTTCCAGCCAAAAATCTCCTTTCTTCAGGAATCCAAACAGGTCCCTGAAGCCCTTGAGCTGTGAGAGATAAATCCTATCACTAACCCACCCATAGGAAAAAGTTGCTTCTACCCGTTTGGAATGGAAGGAGGACTGAAGTCACTCCAAATGCGAATACTGTATATGCATCTATTTTCCTGTGGTATTCCCCCATCCCAGGGAGGGGTGACTCTGTCCATTTCAAAAATGGTCATATTTGAAGATATATGAAGCTGACTTCTTCTCGTTCTTGCAAAGCAAGGCAACATTTGGGTGGTCCAAATGACTATTTATTTATTTATTTAGGGCAAAGCCCACATTAAAATGCGTATGCACGTTTTTCGGTGTTACTTTGCCTCCTAGCCATCTTTTTTTTTTTGCAACCCGTGTTCTCTGATGCCGTGCCATTTCTGTACGTTGCTTTTATCCATTTTGCAGGCTCTTCCGGCGATTAGTCGTTTTTGTTATTAGCAAACGGCAGTGTAAAATTGGGAGAACGGTGAACTTTTGATGACAACGACGTTGCAATATTCGATACGGAATTCCTTTTCCATCCCTCTCCTATTGTGATTCATTCACAGAGATATAATTATCCATTCAAAATGAGCATACGTGAAATCAGAGTCCTGCTATTCTTCTCTAAACATTTGTTCATTATGTAGTAATCAGTAAAAGATTAAAAACGCAAAAAATGTAAGAACAAAAAACATGAAAAATGGAAAAAGAAGATACTGTACATCGCAAAGCAAAACGAAAAAGGGAGTTTGGAGGCAGGTAGAAATACATTTGTAAGCTTAGTGGGAAATCCTTTTTTCCCCTTTTTACTGTAATGCTGTAAACCACTGTATTATTTCAATGCAGATTTCAATGCAGTACAGTAATGCTTATTAACGATGAATAAAAATTATTAACATTCTGTTATTTAAAAAGCTTAAACTATTGGAAATAAAAAGAGAAAAGTAAAAATTCTCTCAGGATCAAATTGCCATTTAGGATGTCAGTGTTAGAAGCATAAAATGATTTAATTTTTCATCCAAAGGGTGGACTTCTGGGGAATTCTGGGAGTTGAAGTCCACTCATCTTAAAGTGGCCAAGGTTGAGAAACAGAGTTATGTGATAATAGTTTCAGTCTTGAGAGAAACAACATTTTATACATCCATACTTATCATTTCTATCCCCAAAGGAATGGAAATAATCGTTTAGGAATTATTTCACTGCCATATTAAAAATAGGAATTATTTCAAGGCCACATTAAATCAAGCTACCCCAGTATTCATGATCAGGGATGAGTGCGCACATTTTCCAATTTTCTCAAAAACATGCAATCAAAATGCCAAGTCAATGAATCATCTCACCCCAGTTACTCTCAAGAAGGGTCTTTCCCCGTTACGCTGTTAAGAGTGTGCTCCGCCCATCCTTGAATCAGCAGAAACAGCCCAGCGTGAAGTGCGCTGAGCCCACTGATTCCTGCCCCTCTTGCTATTGATCCCAATCTCTGCCTTCTCTCTGAGACAGTATCTCTCAACCTCAGCAACTTTAAGATGCCTGGACTTCAATTCCCAGAATCCCTCAGCAGCATGGGTGGACTTCAACTCCCAGAATTCCCCAGCCTGCATGTGTGGACTTCAACTCCCAGAACTCCCCAGCCAGTTTAGGGAGAAGAGGAAAGCTGAAGGCTTCAGATACATTAATGAATGGAAAGGAAAGCTGAATGGTATCTTAGTGCAGCAAGTCATTTGAAATGTAATAGGTTTTCTTTAGCCATTCCCTTTATCTGTTCTTCCCCATTAACTCAAAGTTGAATGCAACACGCAAGGTTTCTTCCCACCTTGAAACTCTGTCCTCTAGGAGTAGCCGCTGACTTTCAGAAAGGCCTTTCCTGAAATATTTTGTTTTTAAAAGAGCAAGGCGCAGCTGATGGGAGAGGGAAAGAAACGGAGAGCCTTTGCACACCATAAGCCAAGGCTTCTCAACTTCAGCAATTTTAAGATATGTGGACTTCAACTCCCAGAATTCTGGAAACATGCTGGCTGGGGGATTCTGGGAGTGAAGTCCACACATCTTACAGGCTGAGGTTGAGAAACACCACTTTAAGATAATGGGCTACGAAAACTCGCAGATGTTGCAGGTCTGAAGGCTGACCTGGGATGGTCTTGGGATACAGGAGAAAAGGCTCTTGAGCAGAAGTCTTGCTAACTTAAACCTGTCTCGCTCATGGGTGAGATGAAGGCAACGTCATAGGGACGTGGCAGAAAAAAAGGAAGCCGCCAGGGCACGTTGGCACTGTGGTTACGTGCAGGTGGGGAAAATGTTGCAAAGTGTTTGCCCGCTGGGTTTCTGCTGACTCAGTTTTCTGGATTTGTTGCTTTCTAATCAGCCCCACCTACCACCAAGTCATTATTCTACCATATCTTTGCATTCTGTGTTATCTTCTGTAATACAGAAGTGTTTTTTCCCCTTTTGGGCCAAGATGAAGGCAATGCCATGGGGACGTGGGAACAAAAAGAGGACAGAGCGAGTGGGGAACGGCTCGAGGGCAGCACTTTGCTCTTCCAATGCTACTACTGTGCCCAATAGCCTTTTAGCCCCATAGACCCTGGACTGAATGATGGAGGAGGCTTTGCACAAGTCACGGTGTTTGTGGATTTTGGCTGGCCCACGATTTTCAGCCAACCAATCCAATAAGCCACTCTGGGACCAACAGGCAGATTGGAATAAGTCTGTCCTTCTGTTTTTTGCACTTTTCTGAATGTTGTCCTAACAATTAGCTCAAAGAAGTCCGTTTTTGTTTTTTTGGGGGGTGCCTTCAAATTCGTCTTAATTCCCTCCATGGACAATTCTGTGCAATTTTCTTGACAATATTTTGAGAAGCAATTTGCCATTGTCTCCTTCCTAGGGCTGAGAGAGAGTGACTGGCCTAAAGTTGCCCAGCTGGCTTCGTGCAGGACTAGAACTCACAGTCTCCCGGTTTCTAGCTTGGTGCCTTTAACCACTCCACCCAGCTGGGTTTCCCTGCAATGCCTATAATACTACATATCCTAGGCTAAAATTTAGACAGTGACCACCATGTCTACATGCCCCTGAAACAGGCATTATGCCACCACAATATCTACAAGAAGAAGGCTATGCTGAGTAAAAAAAAAAAAAACCTCTGATATTCTACAAGTGGCTGCAGGCTTTTACTTGGTTCCAGAACTGCATGCCTGATATGGATTCGACCAGCCAAAGCTGTCACACTCTCCGTGGCTTTCAATACTTTTATTTCTGTAAATCAAACTGCCCGGGTCTGCTCATTTTGCCAGTGTATCTATTCAGGTCATCAGGAAATCTGCCCCCCCAACTATATATATTTTTAAAAACAGCTGCAAAATTATTCTTAACAGTGGAAAAGATGTCTATGTGTGATGCTGTTAGCTAATTTCAGGTAGTCCTCACTTAACAACCATTTGTTTAGCGACCACTCAAAGTTACAACGGCGCTAAAAAAAGTGACTTACGACTGCTGCCCGAAGTTACAACCATCCCAGCACCCCTGCAGTTATGTGATTGTGATGTGGGTGCTTGGCAACCGGCTCGGCTCGCATTTACGATGGTTGCAGTGTCCTGGGGTCATGTGATCACCATTTGCAACCTTCCCAGGGGGCTTCTGAAAAGCAAAGTCAACGGGGGAAGCTGGATTTGCTTAACAACATGGTGATTCACTTAAAGACCACCGCAAGAAAGGTCATAGAATAGGGTCTGATTCCCTTAACAACCGCCCTGCTTAACAACCAATTCTCTGGTCCCTATTGTGGTCATTAAGCGAGGACTACCTGTAACTGTGCAATGGCAGATCTGGCTAGAAATTTATATGACTAGATTTTGTGGTCATAAAACTTCTAGAGAGGAAAAGCTTACGATGTTCAGCTTGAAGAATGTGGTGGGGGCCATGACCCAAGGAAGTGTAAAGGTACTATCAGCTTTAAATGAGCTAATCCATGCTGTTCTCCCTCAGCAGTCCCCTGGATATTATACTGAGGCAGGGAGAGTCACTCCCCTTCGTTTGCTTGATCTCCCAAAGCTTTTGTGTTTGGGAAATCCTTTCTCTTTGACTCTGCCAGCAAAATACCCAGCAGGATGCTCTTTTAGACAGTCCAGCCCGGGTGTGCTTTAAACGGCAACCGAAACAAATCCTCTTTGCAAAAAGGTGAAGCATCTCAAGGAAGGTAAGCAGCAAATCAGATTAACAAGCTGACCTCCTTGCTTGCAAAGTTATCCATCACGCAACTCTGTTTGCTAAAGGACTTCTGCAAGAGATGGTATTTTGCAACCAGCATTGATTGCAACTCTAGAGATCCTCCTCAGAGGTTTTCCTGGAAAGATGGGAATCCTCTTTCAGTCATCAGCCTAGCCCAGTGTTTCTCAACCTTGGCAA